GCCGCGTCCTCGGGCAGCGGCAGCGCATCCCCGCGCTGGGTCTGCGCCCGCCAGGCGCCCGCGGCCGCCTGCAGGCACAGCGCGGCCGCCCCGCTCGGCTCGGCCCCGCGCCCCGAGCCCCGCGCCCGCCCCGCCAGCAGGTACCAGTAGGCGACCAGCAGCACCACCACCAGCAGCAGCAGGCGCCGCGCCCAGCTGCTGGACAGCAGCCCCGGCAGCCCCTTGAGGCGCTGCTGCAGCCACATGGGGAGCCCCGGCGGGGAGCGCCGGCCCCGCCGCTCCGGCCCTAGGCCGCCATCGCCGCCGCGCTCGGCGGCGCTTTTGCGGCGCTTTGCGACGGCCGCGCGCGCCGCCCCCTCGGGGCGGGCGGGGAGGGGAGAGAGACTCGGCCCGGCCCCGGGACCCCCCCGGCCTGAGCCCTCCCGGCTCCGGGACCTCTCTCAGCTCCCGACCCCGCCGGCTGCCGACCCGCCCGGCTCCGACTAACTCAGTTCCGGGACCCCCCCCCGGGTTCCGACCCACCTGGCTCCGGGAGTCCCCCGGGACTGGGACTATTTGGCTCTGACCGCCCTGTCTCCAGCCCCCCCCCAGCACCCTGTCTTTCAGCCCCGCCGGCTCCTGGAGCCCCGGCACCGGGAACCCTTCCCGGCTCCGGGTATCCCCCAGTCCCGGGTTTCCCCCCCTGCCCCGCTCCCGGTGCGATATCCGCGGGTGTCCTCGGGCAGCTCCAGCCCAGGGCTGATGTTCTGTGTTCTGTGTCTCCGCCCGGGTCACTGCACCGATGGAAAAGGCCTGGGGGGGATTTCCGTAATTCCAGTGTCATTCACTGCCGTTACCACGGCAGAGACTGTGCGGGAAAGCGAGTCATGTTCTATCACACCCTGTAGTAAATAGAGGAACAAACTTTGTGATGTGACTGAGATGTGCACAGGAAAGCTTTGTATCCCGCGCAGCGCTCCGGAGACAGAAGAAGACACACAGTTTCGAGCAAGTCAGGCAAACACAGACTTAAAATTCTCGACCAGGTTGAGCCAGTGATCCAGCTCAGTGAAGGAAAAGGAGGAGACACTTTCTTCATTTATTCCTGCAAATGAATATTTGAATGAATGCAAATGAATATTCCTGCAAAATCCTGTTTGATTTTGGAAGGGGCACTGGAATCCCAAAAGGGTGGGTGAGACCCCATCCCCTGCAGGTTTCGGTGGGGCTGGTGCTGCCTCAGAAGCCCCGGAGTGTTTTGAGGCTGCACAAAAAACAGAGCTCCGAGCCTTCCAGTTTTTAGGAAGTTGCTGCTCCGCCTGGAGCACGTGTTGCACGTACTCATGGAACATCTGCACTGGCAGCTGGCTCTGTTTAAAAAGACAGGCACCGACTGCAGCCAGAGAGCACAGAGCAGTGCAAACACAGAGGGGGGAAATGAAACGTGCTCGCTGGGCTGGCAGAGTTGCAGAATGCAAACAGAGCTGTCACACAGCGACAGGCTGGGTACAGCAGCACAAACAATGAGGCATTCATGATTTTCAGTGTGCAAAACCGCTTTCGTTTCAGACTGGAGAGATTTAACTTCTTCAATATGAGAAACTTGCAATTTTAAAAACCCGTGTTGAGTCCCAGCTCTCAGTCTGAGGTCTGAAGGGAAAGTGCTGAGCATCTTTGCTGTGGCTCCTGGCTTAAAGTGTTGAAGCTGCTACAGATTTATCAGGGCCTGCAAAATACTGAAGAAATCTGAAGTGAGAGTCTGGGGTTTTTTTCTTTTCTTTTTTTTTTAATTATTTTTTAAAAAAAATTTATTTAGGGAAACTGGCAGCTTTGCAAAAGGAAGTTTCCTGAAATCACTGTTTTAGAGAGAACTAATATTTCCTTGGGTTGTTGCCTGTAGTACATCACTTGAGCATGAGGCCTGTTCTCTTTTCCTGGTAATTATGAGGGAATTACTACTTCAGGGAAAGGGAATGGAAGGAAAAGTGCTTTGAACATACCCAAGAATATTCCCAGTGAACAAATTGTAATGGGAGTTCTTTGGGATGATGCTGTTATGAAGCACAGAGAATATTCATTAGCTACAGTCTGGCCTTTCTAGTGTGCTTTATTTTTTCTCCTCTAAAAACATACCTTCTTGGTTTTGTTTTGAAAATCCAAATCCTGTGATAATCTGTGATTTCTGTTGATTTAAAGAGCTGGTTTGCTGACAGCCTCATGTAAGGTCTGTGTCAGTGGTAGATCCTCAGGTTCTAAAGAGTTTCCCTACATCAAAACCTTACACTCACTGCAGTGTAAAAGTGACCCTAAAGCAAATTTTTTTTTAAAAAAAAGTGTAATTTTATAAGATGGGATTATTTCCCTGTTATCAAATATTGGCAGAATGAACTAGAAAAAGATGCCTAGATAAGTCATAGAGCACGAAAACCCAGCACAAGGCCACAAAGATAAATGTAAGACTTAAAGACCTGTACACGGCCAGAGAAAACCAGTCAGTGTAGGGAACAAAACCACTGCAGGTCCTGTGTTCACCAAGGAAATATGGGAGGCAACAGGTGGGAAGAAGGTGGGAAGATGATATTTAATAAGGCTTCCAGTTTCCAGAGCTGTGCATAACGTTACAATCCACCCCTGGTTTGCTTTTGCTACATAAATGCCCATGTCAGCCCAGCTGCAGCCCAGCACCAACTGAAGCTGCTCACAGAGTGACCCCCTCTCCTCCTACGCGTTTGCTCGGTGCCTGTTTCTTCCCCGGCGTCCCACGGCCGGGGTACCCCGCACGCTGCCCGGGTAAAGCCCCGGAGCTGCGGGATCAAGCCCCCGAGCTCCGCATCCCGGTGCTCCCTCTCTTCCCACCCGGCCCCAGCGCTCCCTCCCCCGCTCCCAGCCCGGCCCCAGCCGCCCGCCCGCCTCTTGCGGGGGCCGGGGCGGCCCGGGAGGAGGAGCCGCCTCCTCCCGCTTCCTCCGCCCGTCCCCGCCGGGCGGGTCTGGTGCGTGGCACAGCTCCGGCAGCCCCGGAGCCTCCCAGAGCCGCCCGCTCCGTCCCGCAGGCATCGCCCGCGCTCCGTGGGGGCTCCCGGCGCGGGGTCCGGGCGGGAAAGTCGCTTCCATGGTTCTCCCGGCGGTGCTGCTGCCCTGGGCGGTGCTGGCGCTGCTCGGGGCGGGGGGCGGCCGTGCCTCGCCGCAGGAAGGTAAGGGGGGCTCCGGGGGCGGGGGGGGACCGGCGGCAGGGCTGAGGGACGGGCACAGCCCCGCAGTGCTGCCGCTGTCCCGCTGTCGCAGCCCAGGCTGAGCCCCTGAGCGGCACCTCGAGCCTCCCGCCGGGTCCCGAGGCAGCTCGTGGCCATGGGAGACAGCCTTGCACACCAGTTCATCCCGGCAAAGGTCTCTCAGTCCCGTGGGTTGCATCCCGCCTGGGTCAGCTCTCCCTGCTTGTGAACTTAGACGGTTCAAGAACAAGGTAACGGGAGAGCTTTTGACCCCTGACTGTCCACGCTGTGACTCAAGATCCGGGATGCTCCTAAAATAACATCAGTTGGTAGAAACTCTGGAGTAGTTGGTAGAAGGGCAGAGGATTAGGGCAGCTACAGAGTGTCAGCAGCACTGACAAAGGGCTTCACGCACTGTCACTCTGCCAAGAAGTTGGGATAATTATCTCTGTCTTCATTAGAGAAGTGACAATTAGGAGGAGATTTAATCTTGTTACCTAGAATATTTCCCTTCACAGTGTGATTCTGGTATAATTACCTTTACTATATATCTATTACTTAATACAGTTAGCATGTATCCATGGGAGTGTTGGGAGTTCTTTAGCTATAGTGGCATCACTGAAACAAAGAATCTCTCTGTGCTATCCTGCCTTCCTTACACATCCCAAATCTTCCATGGTTTTGGTAAGGTTTTAGAGTGCACTAGAGATAAAACTGGGAAAGAGAATGAGGCATGTTGGTTAGGAAGAGGGATTTAGAATTAACTGCTTTCTGAACTCATCACTTCTGGTGTGGCTCAAAAAAAAAAATGCCTCACCTTTGTTGTGCCTCAGCTTCCCCAGAGTAACGTGAGAGTGATGATATCTGCCTGCTCTCTTGGATGTTCTTTTAGATCTCTGCAAGAGCTCTAAGCATAGTTATTAATAGTTAATTGAATCTTTAAAAAATACTTCTGTAAAGTAAATTTAATACAGAGATTATATTATCCACTATTAAATTGTGCACTGATTTTTTTCTATTTGATCTCCATATTAATGGTGTTTTCTTGGACACCATCTTAACAGGAAGTGGCACAGTAGGATTTCCCAAAGCACAGCCTAGGGATAAATTCATTCCTTGTCCTAAAATGCAGCTGCAGCTGTGCTTTCCCTGTCAACTCAGGGCTGAAGTAAATAACTTTAAATTTATTGTTTTGTTACTGAACTCATGACTGATTTTTAATCTTTATAAAAGCTGAGAACTTTACACAACCTTTTCACTGTGATCTTGACATCAGAGTTCCTATTCTAATGCTTTGTCCCTACGGGATACTTTTCATCTACAGAGCTCTAAAACCCTCACAAAAGTGGTAAATATCTTCTATTATTTTTCCACATATGGAAAAACAGAGGGAGAGCTGGATTGGCTCCTTGTTGCATAGCAGAGCTGGCAGTAGAGTGCAACTCCCCTGGTTCCTAATCCAGTGCTTGCTTCTTTAACCACCCTGTGTTTATATGTTGCATCCATCCCATTATTAAATGTATTTACATGATTTTTAGTTGTCAGCATGGCCCAGGGAGCCTTTGGGCCCAGGAGGCCCAGCTTAGCTCAACAGGCTGCCATTTCTACATATGGAAAGTGACTGTGACATGGGAAATTGGGAAGTATCACTCTGGTTCAGGATGTTTTAAAAAGCCTGCATGTGATACTGAAAGTAAAAGGCTTTACTGTTCTGTCCCTGGAAGTACCCATCAGCTGCACCAGTGTTCAGCAAAATCTTTGGGAAAGATAAAAAAGGGTTAAAGGAGAAGGAGTGGAGGCAGCACAGCTCAGCACAAGCTTCCAGTGCTGGGCTGAAGGAATGTCTCTGGGGATGGAAAGCTCTCGCTACTACAGAGTTCTCAGAACAGAGACTGAGCTTAGTGTCTCTCGGAGTCCTACCCCACGGACCAGGAATGAGAAGGGAATCTGTAACCTGGAATTCTGCTGGGGATGATAATTGTCTGTGCTGGCTTTTAGTGCTCCTCTGAGTTCACAAACTGCGCGGAGGGACCTTTTCTGCCTTGGAAATAGGACACCACTTCCTGTGCATCTGTGCAGCCTTTAGTCATGTCC